TTCCATTTAATAAGACCGTTTTGTGCACAATGTGTCAAAGAATATAGCAGCTGATTAAAAATTTGAAAATTTACAATTGGAACATACTGTTTAGATCATTGATTTATATTAATGTTTATGTGGTGAGTGGTTACTTGACGGTACGAACGGCAGGCACTTGTTTCTGTACATAATAATGAAGCACATGTACAAGATTGTACTACTCTTCAATGCATTATTAACAACAATCAAATTTCCAGTGAATTGACTAACCTTTACAGTAGTCAACACAAAACTATTTCGGGCTACATGTAGGCATTATTGATACTTTACTTTTGAAACGAGATTCAAAATGGATTATATATCATATTTATTGATTTTTAACAAATATTTTAGAGGTGAGGTTATGAGTTCGTTGGGGTTAGGATTAAGGTCAGTGATAACTGATCATCGAGGATTCATTTTTTCTTTTATCAATTTGACAAAAGTCTCAACAAACAGGGAAGACGTCTGACCACAGGCACATGGAAAAGATGCAGTTAGTATGCCTCTCGAAATTCTCGATGCGTTTATTACCCTACAGTTGAAAACAAGAGAAGGGAAAATATAAAGATTTATTAAATATATAGATATTTATATGCTGTATCCATACAATTTGCATGCACCGATTGCATTTCAGAAGCAGTAGTGTTATATGATAGAGGGTGTGATTCTGCTAGCGGGATAAAGAAGAGGTGTATAATGTGCACTCTTAAAGCAGGGTAGAGTTGGGTACAATTTTTAACATAAGAGGTCAAAATGGGAAGATACATGTTTGTTGGATGAAATCTACTCAACCTTCGTTAAACATTGCCCAGCGTTGGTAAACTCTTACCCAACAAACATGCATTGTTCCTTTCTTTTCCTCTTATGAGTAAAATGTTACCCAACCCTTTAAAAAGTATGAAGATACACATGGGAAGAATATAAATTGGATAATTCTCTCAATTTTAATTAATTTTAGGTTATTAGAAATGACTCCGTGCCCTATATACGAAAAGGCAATCCTAAAGCAGAGCAAGTTACCATGTCGTGCTTAGTCATTTAATCATCGTATTGTTAACTCATCAATCAAATGACAACGATGGTTGTTCGAGCCTGACTTGAAGGAAATAAACATGCCCTTCATAATGTTATTTTTTAGAAATGTTATATGCAAAGTCTTTTTGACCGAAATTATGCGCACTTAAAAGCCTCACTGTGTCATGCTTGTCGAGTACTCCTTCATTTCTTAGTCTTTAAAACAACACAAAAAATACAATGCCGGTATTCATGACTATCGTAAATATTGCTAATAAAATTATTTATGCCTGTATTGCACATCCACGAGTCATATATCAGCGTCAAAAGTATTGATATTATTAACTTAATAATTATGTTAAAAATGGCATTGATACATTTTGAGGCTGGTAACGGAGGTGGTATAGATTACATCGAAAGAAATATTATCCAGCCGATTTTTAAAGTTTGTCTTCCTTGATTTTTCTCATTTTCATGACTATGTGATAGAGGTGTCGAATTGAAAAAAAATAGAGGTGGATTATTATTATTCATAGAATGAGCATACTATTTCTCATGCATTTTTATTTAGATTTGGAAATATTGTTAAATACAAGCTCGTACCGTTAGCAACGCACAATGTCTGATATTGTGCGACACTACCGCCTGACCGTCTTAGCTGCTTACAATATTCCTCTACTGCAATAAAAAAATAAAAGACAAACAAATAATCGAAACAATAGTAAATCAATAAATCAAATCAAATCCAACAAAATTTGGTTGGTAAAGTTATCACGATATATCATCGGCCAGGATAAGAAGTGATAAAAAGTATCTTTCTGAAAGTGCAAACTTTCTACAAATCTGGTCGGATTACGTCAAAACATCATTGCCATGTTGGCACATTTCAATAGGTGACCGCACAATCATACAGCTATTAGAATGGCTTTTATAGGATGGTTGTTTTGTAATCGTATTCGTTTTAGTTGTTTGATAACATTATAAATAAATTGCTTACGGGTTCGTTGCTCCTCGACACTCAACGCATTGGAATTGTCGATCTCATCTTCCTCGACTAAAACACTTGCTACCACGGCCAATGCAATCAGACAGTAGAGAGAAATCATGGTTTTTGACGCCATTTTTAAAGTCTAAGGAAAATAGAATCAACATGGAATACATTTTGATCATTTGGTCAAAGATACGGTGACATTGCAATGCAATTAAGAATGTCAGCATAGAATCGTGACGTACTGAAACTTTCCTTTTACAGAATGAACAGAAATCGACAATATAAAGTTATAACAGAAAGTGAAGGAACAATAGTCGGCTTCGAGACGACAGGCTGCCAGAAAATACTTGAATTGTGGTTTACTGTGATGAATGCAAGGCGGAAGTGGCGGATCCAGGGGGGGGGGGGGCCCCTTGAGAAATAAATCATGTAAAATCACGTGATTTTTACCTTTTTTGGGGGTTGTGCAAATTGAATTTTTTTTCAGGATCAAAAAAAAAAAATGTGCTCACTACCCCCCCTCCCCCCTCCCCCCCCCCCCCCCCTCCCCACTGAGCGAATTTTTGGCCGGCGCGTTTTTCAAATTTTCGGGAGCAAAAAAAATTGTGCTCTGTACCCCCCCACTGAGCGACTTTTCGGCCGGCGCGATTTTCAAATTTTCGGGAGCAAAAAAGAAAAAAAGTTGGGCCCCCTCCCCTAAGAAATCCTGGATCCGCGCCTGCCAGGCGGAAGGCTTCAGAATATCCACATTCAATCATAGTTTTCGCTTTCAGGAACCATCAACTGAGAATGTTTGTAATGCCCTGTTGAAAGATGATGTTCCCGGCCCACTTCTGCACTGCTCTCATTGCATGCACTTTAATAACGGCTTTGACGATGATAAAGATTCAACGCAGTCTCGTTTTCAAAGAATAGAAGAAGGCGAATGTAATGTCTTTAAAATGCTATCGTGACACAGAAAATATTAAGAAATTGAATTTAATAAATGATCTGACAACAGTGCTTAACATACTTAGTATGTCAAGCAGTAATGAGTAATGTTAGAAGGTAGTCTACCTTCTAACAGTACTCATACTTACGTAAAGCTAATCTCAGTGAGCTCTGGTATGGGAATCGTATTTTGAAAGACATTCGCTACGATTTATTTTAGATTGTTGATCCTGCAGCAGATTTCCTGATCTTCATATGCTCATTTCTCAGCCACTATACAATTTCTACCAAAATTATTGTGCAATTGTCATTTATTTGTAATCTTGAAAATTCTGTGTAAGTTTCGTTGGATTCTGTGAGAATTTAATCTCTATATTTACCAGAACTCAAGATTAACTTTAAACTTACCTCCCCAAATTATTAATTGATATGAGCCATTATAATCTGAGCATGTTTGTTTGGTAAAATGTACCCGAAATTGGGTAAACATTACCAAGTGTTGGTATAAAGTATTCCCAACAAACATGTATGGTTTTTTTTAACCTCCTATTTTTAACATTTTACCCAATTTGCTAAAAGGGGAAGTCCACCCTGAGTTTAAAACAAAAATGAAAACGGAAGAATGAGAGGAACGGGTTAGTGAAAGTTTAAGCAAAAACCGATTAAAAATAATAAATGTATGAGTTTTTGAAGATGCGATCAATCAATCATCGTTCAAATTGGCAACTCTGTGACATAATTGTTGTGAGGTTATCACCCATTTGCCCTGTACTAAAAGACTTTAAAAGCTTACTCTCTTAAAAAAAAGAGTGAATTTTCACTCTATTTTCACTTTCTTGGGAGTGACGTCCGTGATCACTTGTTTAGGAGTAAAAAATCGATTGATTTTAGAGTGCTCTCTATTAAGAAGAAAAGAGTGAATGTTCACTTTATTTTCACTACATTTTCACACTCCAGAGGAGTGACGTCCGTGATCACTCGATTTTTTTTAGAGAGTATGTAATGGAGATTAATGCCTTACCAAGGGACACCTAGCACCCGTTAGTGTTACGAACCCGAGCCTTCACGTTTAGGAGATCACTGGGCCATCTCACCCATCAGAGTTGCCAAAGCAAAGCTCCTGATTAAAGTGCACTAAAAGCCCTCTGCATACGAGGCGAAGATGTCTGAAGAAATGCAGACCTACGCTCAACAACTGAATATACATCAATTATTCCCAAATCCAGACTCTCAACTACCGAAAAAAACGTTTTACAGTTGCTGCTTCGAAAGAATATAATTTTAACCTGTCTTGCCACTTTCAAAAGATCCATTAAACATTCCTCTTCCCTCAGAAATAAAGCATGATTTACCTATTTCTGAGTCTTATGTTTCTCTTCACATTCTGTTACATAGTAAGGGATAAGGTACTTTTTGTTTTAGCGCTACTAAATAATCGATATCATTATCAATACAATTAAGAACTGACGGAATCAGAAAGACGTCTCATGTGCAAAAGGCATAACGTAAGGGATGTTGGGCCTACCTGATTTCGATGCGGTGTTCGAGTAGAATTCTGTAAGATGATGATATTCTTTCTCGTAGCTCGATGTGACGAAGTGTCTCTATCAAGATATATGTTGAATTAAAGTCTAGATAGCTTCTGGTTTTATAGAATTTCGGAGCCTGCCATTACTATCTTCTCGTTACCGACAAGTTACCGCATGTGAAATTGAATATTGTGTTCAACATTATGTTGGTGGATAAAACTTTTCAAAAATCCAAAAAATATGACCTCATAACAATTGCTTCGATTATTTTGTATTCAAACTTTTAATCATCGAAGCCTGTCGTTCGTACCGACAAGTCACCACTCATCACAGTCATGTCAGTTTGAACGAATCGATCAATCGTCAAAGAATTGATTTATAATCGCTTTATAATTAATTATTTTATATTTGATATACCTGCATTCGGATTGTTCACGAATGAACATTTACTAGATAACTTAAATGTTCGTTTTCGTTAATTTCATCATTACTTTCTCTTTCTTAAATATTTATAAAATGTTTAATGTTGTTACATCATGCCGTCGCTGTTTTCACGAAGTGATAGTGAAAAAAATTGCATTCACTTTGCGTTACGATTTTTCTCACTACCGTCACTTCGTGAAAACAAGGACGATGCCTTTATTTCATATAAAAAGGAATACATGTTTACATTCAATACCAGGTCCATGTTCCCTTTCCGAAACCATGGCAGGTCGCACTACATATAAAACATATAGAAACAATAATGCATTACAGTTACAAATATATATCAATCATGCATAATAACAATTATATATTAATCATGTATAGCTAAAATTATGCATTAATCATTGATCAATATACATTCATTCATATATCGATCATGTATATTAACAATCATTAATCGTGCCTGCATCAATCATGCTTAGGTTGGCAACAAAAATTCAATTAAAAAAAAAATAAAAAAATAAGGGGAATATGATTTTCTGAGCATGTGGGTAAAGGCTGGGAGTAGGAAACGATGTAAGAAAAAAAATTTGAAAGAAATGAGAAAGTAGAGGGTACATTATAGGTTGGAGATAAAGTGTAAACGAGTGAAAACGAGTCATTCCACTTGGAATAGACGGAGTGGAGGAAAAGGAGAAAGTAGGGGGGGGGGTAAAGAGAGAAGAGGGGAGAAAAGGCAAGCAGATGGAGTAAAGGAGGCGTAGGTAGGCGAGGAAGAAAAGTTTGGGAAGAATGAGAGAGAGAGAGAGGCAGAAGAAGAAGAGGACGAAGAAAAAGAAAAAGAAGAAGAAGACGAAATAAGGCAAAGAAGAAGAGGAAGAGAAAAAAGAGAGAGAAGAAGCGTTGAAGAGAATGGAGTGTTAATTAGAGGTCGAGGTATTCCACATTGTGATTCTTTTCTTGCATTGAATATGACAAAGGATGACACAACTGCGTACCTACTTATGTTCTGAAAGAAACTATTCAGGCGAAGAAGGACTGAACATTTCCCGAATAGCCGTATTATGTTGTCTCTATTTATTTGCCCCCTTACTCATATCTCAATAGCATGGTATGCAGTGGCGTACGCAGGATTTTTTCAAGGGGGGGGGGGGGGTTAACATTTTGAAATCGGGCCGAAAATTTCGCAACGACCCAGCTAGTCGCTGAATAAGCGGGGAGGGATGGGGTGGGGAGGGTAAGAGGACACCTTTTTTTTTTGGGGGGGGGGGGGGGGGGGGGGGGGGGGGAGGTGGTAAGAGGACAATTTTTTTTTTTTTGGGGGGGGGGGGGGGTCTCGAAAATTGAAATTTTGAAATTTTGCTCCTTAGGGGGGGGGGTAAGGTCATTTTTTTAGGTCAGCCATTGGCATAATTTTTATTTTTTATTTTTTATTTTCATTTTAAAAAAAAAGCAAAGGGGGGGGGTTGCATTACAGTACACACATAACAAAAACTAAAGGGGGGTGTTTAACCCCCCCCCCTCTCTGCGTACGCGCCTGATGTTATGTCACACTGTAACCATTGTTTCTTACTTCGGCCACAAGTTCTTTGTACCGGTCGAGCTTTCTCGTGTGAGCAGCATTGGTGTTTGTCTCAAAGGGCACTGTTAGTTCGATCATTAGCATTTGTTTCATTCATTCATTCCCAAATAACGACGAGATCTGGGCGTTGAGATGAGATAAATATGGGATGGGATGGTTCCGCCCGCAACGGTGAAACCCTGACTATCAGCATGAACTTGTTTGTGAGGGAGGGACTCTTTCGAAATCAAGGCAAAATACTATATTCATATTTTCTTTACGCAAGAAAGAGAGGTACAGAGAGAAAGAAAGAGAGAATACGTTAACTGCGAATTATCGAGTACAACTATGAAGCGTTTCCTTCTCAATATGATTCAAATCGCTGTCAATATTCAGAATCTGAATAGGATAAATCCACAATATACACCAACGCTG